TTTTGTTTTAACCTGAATAAGGTAGAGGTCCTGGTTAAAATATTATGTGGTAATATACTTAAAGGTTATTTTCTAATGCATGTATGTAAAAGGTTAATTCTGATTGCACATGGAACACTGCTTGTGATACTGCCCAACTTCAGAGTGTTTTACAGAGTAAACAATATTATTGTGGTGTTTTCCACTTATAACTTCTTAGATTTAAATCCGTTATCTTTATAGATTACTTTTTAATATCAATTTTGTATTGATACAGTAATCTTCTCAGGGTTGGAATTACCTTCACTTTGCTCTTTTCTTTCTGTAGCATAGATTTCTCCATTTCAGTCGAAAATAGAACTGCTGGCATTAGTATCCTTAATTACATTGGATAGTCAATAAAGCAACCATGGTAGGTACTTTTCCAGTGGGCATTGTTTGCTGACAGCATTTCTTTGTGACTTGGAAATCAGCTTCAACTTCAGGTCTTCTGCAGTCATTACTGGCTCCATTAGTGCTCTCTTAATTCTGTTTTCTCCCTTGTCATGGCTTATACCTGATGTTTGCCTTTCTTGATTCCTCATTCCAGAGTCTGCCAAGCTCCAGCTCAAGTGTCTTGTCTAGGTGTGGTGGTGTTACCTCCTTCTGGGTCTTCTACCCTCATGTTTGTTCTCTAGCAGCAACAGTGGATGAATTGAGAGTACTGGCGAAAGATACCCTATTTTTGGTTCTAACTGGCAGTATAACATTAAAAATAGGTAGTTAAAGCAAATTGTGGAGCACGCTCTGTGTAGGCAGATGTGTTGAGAGAATTTATCTCTGTACTTGTTGAACTAATATACACATGGAAAGTTTTCAAAAGCCTATTGCTTGTCTGCATTTGGATAGATTTGCACAAGAGCAATAGTAAAAGGTACAAACTGATACTAAGGCCTCCTGTCGCATTTCAGTTATCAATTTGCATATATGAGGTACTACTTATAATTTTTTTTAAAGGTAGTAACATAGAATATTTTCCTGTAACCTTGTTTTGGAAATGTTTGAGTCATTTCTTCTGAAGCTTCCCCAAATATGCTAGGCAATTGTACGAGAAGGTAAACTTCATTTTAGCAAAATTTTTAGCAGCTGGAAACAGGAACTTATAAGGGCAAATAATGGGCAACATAGGGCTTCCAGCTTTGTCAGTACTGTGTCTCAGCTTGGTGCAGGTTTTTTTTAATGTTATTTTAAAATATTCTTAAATAAAATTTGTTGTACAGTAACAGGATAATTGTGTACCATTAAAATTATACTATTTTCAGTCTTAATATGGAGGACTGCAGTGCTTAAGAGTTGGAATTTCAGGCATATATTAGGTTTAGTTTAAATTTTAAACGTAGCTTTTTGTTCCTTTGTAGGATCGGTGTCTTAGTACTCACTAATAGTTTAGTTGGAGAAAACAGTTGGCTGTTTTCAGTTACGGGCAAAATTCTCAAATGTGAGATTATTAAGGATTTTCCTTACAATAACATTACTGTATCAAAACTATAATCTTGGCAGTGTTTCTCTAGACATATTTGAAATTGGTTACACCCATCTTTTGGCTACATAGTGCAGGGCTTTAGTTCTTATGACTGAATTATATTTACAGGGATGAGGCAGCCAGTTTCCCTGTTGCTGCATCATCTGTTTCAAATGACTTATTACCCCTGTGTTCATTCTTACACACTGGTTACAGCCTTTTGAAATTCATAGTCCTTCATCATAAAATGCTGTTTCTTCTGCAGACAAGGAAACGTTTTGCAGTTGCAATAGATGTCTCTGCAACTGACTTCCAGGTATCTAGAATGAAGTATTGCTTTGAATGATCAAGTCTTAATGATGAAGTGTTTACTAGTTTGTTTAAAGATTACAACACAATACTGCCGTATTAGGAATGGCTAATAAAACAAAATGTTTCAATAAAGCATTTAAGATTCATTTTTCTATGGAAAAAATCATAGTATTTTTTGTAAATACTTCATCTAAAAAGTGTAGTCTGTACTGGAGTAAGACAGGTCCATCTGGGCCAGTATCCCGTTCCCCATAAACAAAGGCTAGGTAAGGAAGAGAGGTTATTAACTAGGACGATACCAAGTGAAACTTCACTAGAGCACACTCTTAGCCTCTCAAAATGCACAGCGCATGCAGTTCCTGAGCTATAAGTGGGGTCATTGCATGTAATAGGCATGATAATTTTTTCTTCCATGAATGCTTATTGCTTTTTGAACCCAGTGTAACCTTTTAGTATCCATAACATCTCATTGCAAGAATTATCATGACCTAAATTTACACTGTGCAAAGAGCCACTTCTGATGATGATTTTGCACCTGTCATATAGTAATTTAATTGGGTATCTCCTAGACAGTGAACAATCTTTCATCCCTGTTGTTCAGAATACTACAGCCAGAGTTCTTAATACAGCAGTCTATTAAAAATATTGTTAGCTTTCATGAAGTTTTCGAGGAGCAATGTAATTGTCCATATACTGTCTATATAACTAATAAGTATGCAGTTTCATATCAAAATTTTAATGCACTTTTTTGTTCTGATATTAAGTAACTGTTGCCACTGTATCCTGTTTTCAGCCAGTTTTGCTATGCAGAATTTCAGCATAGCTTTGATCAAAGGCATTCATTTATTCTAAAGAAGACTTTAAAATAAAATATGTATCTAGGTTGATGATTCGTCGCAGTCGAGACAGCACTGTTTGAAAAGAACAACATTATTAACTTTGATAGAAATGATGATGGGCTTTTAACTACAAATGTGCTGCCAAGCTGTGTGGCAATGATTGCTCTGTATAATACATTTTATAAAATTATTTCAGATAGCTTAATTTAATGTGTTTGTTGTCAGGCTTTATCATTTGTGGGAGGTTTGGGGTTTTTTTCCTAGCTCAGTAATTGTTGACCTACTTGTCTGTTTTATAAATAAAAATATTTTTTCTCCTTTATTGACAGTCTACCTATATAAACTAAAACATAGTATTTGACTAAGAACTTTTTCAAATAGTCTATATCCTCTTGGAGGTTTTCATATGAATTTCCAATTAGAGCAGGAAGGCCAAATGGTGTAAATGTTATGATAAAGCAGATGGGAGATTTAAAAGGCAGTAAAATATAAATGGAATGAGGAGCTTTGATATTGAACAGCATGCTTGTTGTCAAACATCCATTTAATTTACTCGTTAAAAGCTGGAACCTAGGCTAGCCATTTTTGATACTTAAAAGGAATAGAAAAATGTCATTTGATTGACCTAGTTTATCTTCTAGTTTTAAACTAGGTTAAATTAAAAATACAAATATTTTAATTATGAAAACACTTATTTGGTAACTAGATGTCTTTAAATTTGATTTCAGCAAGTTATTATTGTAGATTTAATTTGTAGTCTTCATATTTTCTATGAATAAGGAATAATAGAGATGCTGTATCACTTCTTCCATTGAGTTGGAGAACATAAGTTTAATTTGAAGAATGTGTTGTGATACAGCTGTGGAAAGATAATCCTATTGTAGGTATCACTGTATAAGAGAACACTTTGTTGCAATACATATTTCCTTTTTTATTAAGTAAATCTTTAGCACATTGAATCTTTCTAATTTCTTCCATTTGAATTGCTTTTTTTTTTTTTAACTGAGTTGACAGTTCTGCTGGTTCATTTTATCACCTGCCATGGTATGCTTTCGACTTACTGTTTTGTAAATGTCTGTTTTGTCATTTTCAGATGCAGTTTTGGCCTAACTCAGTCCTCTTCATAAGTATTCATAATTTGTGGTGTCTCTCCTTGATTGTAGTTTGCCTAATGGGGCAGTGCTGGCATTGTCGTCTTACTCAGTGCTTACATGTTAGTCTTGGTTTTGAGAACCTCGCTGCATTCTTGTTATTATGCTCAAGTCTGCTACAGGCTTATGTCTACTTAGAGTATGTTTGCTACCCTTGCATAATTTCACTAAATGACATATAAATAAAAGAGAAGAGAAATGCCAGCAATTTGGTACTGTGAGGAATGCAGACTGGTTGCTTTTTATTTTCTTTAGCTTCTCTTTTAGTGAATACAGGGTGGTAACGAATGAATGAAATTATTGCTTTGGCTTGCTTTTTCTTAAAGAGAGATTTGGAATACTTCTTAAAGGCTTTTCCAAGTATCAACCATTGACTTACTCTGGAGAGTGCTTTTAATCATATTTTTGTCCAGTGTCAAGTAGGCCATATTCTGTGAAGAAGTTTTCCATAAAAGATTTTATCCAGTTTTCAAGTTTTGTTTTCTTTTGTATTTTATGACATTTTAAATAGCTGTGGGGTTTTTTCTGTGTAAGTATGTAGTATATCATGTTGTTTATTGGAAAATTAAGGTAAAGTTTTGTAGGAACATTGCTTTCAGTTTTATTACTTATAAATAACTTCTAAATTGTTCATTTTGCTCTGCTTTGTTTACAATTCTAAATGTACACTGTTAAATTTCCAGGATGTAAATTTTATTGAGAAACTCTAGCATTAAATAAGAAGCAAAACTTCCTTTAATTTAAGCTTTCACTTGGTGCTGTACAGAGGACCTGAGCTTAAAACCAAATGAGGTAGTTCTTTTTTGCAGGAAAATGTAATGACACACATGCAAGTTACTTGCTGTATTTTGTGAACATTTGCCGCATTGTTTATTGGCTGTGATAGCAAAGCATGAATGTAGCAATTATCTTGATAATAAGCGGTCAAATGTTAAAAGCTTTCTGACAACTTGACATATGACTTTGGCATTAACTAGCTGCTTGCTCATTTTGAAGAAGCTTACCTCCGATTAAATTTGCCTAGTTGCATGAAGCCTCAGACTATGTAAATCTGGAGCCTGTCACTTCCTGTGATTGCTGGATTCAGTACATGCTATTGAGAATGCTGTATTTTCAGGGGATTTTTGTATTCTGCTCATGGTGTTTGCTAAGCAGGAACTGTAGCTAAAAATAACTAAAATGAATTTCTCTGTCTCTCTTTCTCGCTGCAGGATGACGTAGCATTGCCAAGGATTTATCATCTAAGCAGAAAATGAGCTTAACATCCTGGTTTTTGGTGAGCAGTGGAGGCACCCGCCATAGGCTGCCGCGAGAAATGATTTTTGTTGGAAGAGATGACTGTGAGCTGATGTTACAGGTAATTGCATCAGCCTTCCATGTGCAACTGCTCAAGTCATGAACTTAATGCACCAGTTTTATATTCCTTTTGAAAATTAAATTCCCCAGACGTTGGAGAGCAGTTGTTTTGATTAATCTTTTGTGTTCATATAAACAGTTAGTTTAAATATATTGCCATCAATCATACAGTTACTGTCGAAGTGCAGAGGATCACATTTTCTTCATATAAATCACATACAAATGCAAGAATAGGTGAAATAATTTTTGCAATATGACCAGTAAAGTAAGTAGACTATGTACTCCATAAAATGTGATAATGCTAAGTGCACTGGATGCTTTTGAAAAGAGCTTTTCTTTTTTCTGCAACTTGTAATCTAATTTAGTCACATGATTTGATGTAACTCTATCCCCATGTCCTGATCTGGTTGTACAAAGGCAAATGAAATTAGTAGCGAAGAGTATTTCTCTGTCTCTAAGGAAGCTGAAGACTCAATCTCAGTAATGGTTTCAGTGCAACTGTAAAAACACAAGTCTTGGACAAAATAGTTTGATACTTCAGTAGCTTCCTCAACTTTCAGGATCACTATGTGGAACTCTTAGAGGTGTGTAACCGTATTGTTATGTAGTCTTACTGCATGCGCTTTGCCCTATGAAAGCTGTAGTCCTCTGAACTGCTTCTTCCTGGTATATATATTTTTGAATGGTTAATGGTAATATTTTGGGAGTTTCTTCTTGAATTCTTGTCTTTGGTTACTGTAGAACTCTTAAGAGGATTGAACTTCAAAACTAATATTCTTAATCCTTCGTACCATTCAATAAAATATTTTCTTTTGGGTTTTTTGTTCCCAAGAGTTGTGTATGCAGCCATTAATGGCCACACTAGAATCTCACTTGCAAATGAAGTGCCTAGAAACCTATTTGTATGTGTATTACTCAGAATGTAGTATGTCTAGTAAACTGCATTTTAAACTCAGAAGGCATCCAAAGGTTTTATTGGTGATGGAAATACTTTGTCCTGTTAGAAAGTAGTTGAAAATACTCTTAATTTCTCGTTAAAGACAGGCAGTATGATGTCTTGGTGATTTATGAGGGAAGAATTAAAAAAACCCACCCAAATAAAACAACAAACAAACACAAAAAAAACCTCGACACCCAAAATCAAAAGAAAAGCAACCAAAAAACCCCACCCCGTTGGTTCCTGCTCAGAAGATTGTAATTAAAAAATGCTTTTATTTTACCACTAGCTTGTTGTAATGGGTTGTTGTCTCTGAATAAGGGAGACTTTTCTTCCTTCTCTCTCCCCTATGCCATCTCCTGTCCATGGTTGATCAGTCCTTAGAGTGAAGCTGAATACTCAAGCATTTATTATTTTGTGTTCAGTCATTATCACCTTCAAAACTAGCTGCCTCTTTGATTAATATTGTGACTAGACTCCAGTCATTCAGAAATATTATTTGTTGTGTATTGACTTCAGAGGCAGTAAAAAGAATCAAGGGGCCTGGTCACTTTCAGGAATATTCTCTTTAGCCTGCTGTTATGTTAGGTCTACATGCCAGCATGACTGTAACAACACATACTGCTGAAGGGAGAGGAACCCACTAAAAGAGAAGCTAATAATGTGTTCTTGTTCTGTATGTATAGCTCTTTGTGTAGGACCTTCCTTTCCACTCTTGACAACTTGGCTGTTCTCTTACTGCGAAACATGTGGACAATGCATGATAAAGAAAGCAGAATTTAATGCTTTTATTCATAATCTCTTGACAGAAAACATGTTATAAAAGCCTTTTAATAAGCATTTCAACTCTGTTGCATGCTTGATAGAGTTAGACCTCAGATCTGTACCTAACCACTGTTCTTCTAACAGAGGGTTTGTTCATGTCTGGGAATACAGATTTGCTTTAACTGGGTTATTTTGTAAATATGCTCAAACATAGTGTCAGTCTGTGTATTTAGCTAGCTGCTCCAATGCATCATCCTGCTTGTGGATAAATACCACGTTTTCCCCTTCTTTCCCTGTTATGTTTAGAAAACTTTTTGAATCTTGATGGGGGAATCATCTCCAAGGTGAAAAATTCTACATTATTCATAATATCAAAATTAATTCCAAAGAGGAATGCTCTTATTTTCTGTATTCTGAACATTTTCTTAGTAGTCTGGATTGGTTTGAAGAGTTTTTGTCTAAAATAATGCTAGTTACAAATTTATTTGAACTGACGATGGAGCTTTCCTCTTTATATTCATACAGCTCTTAGCACAGTTATTCTGTGATTTTTATTATTTCTGCAGTCACATATAAATCTTTGTACTGGGTCTGGCTGGGATGGAGTTAATTTTCTTTATAGAAGCCCTTACCGTACTCTGTTTTGGATTTGTGACCAAAACACTGTTGATAACACACCAGTATTTTCGCTGTTGCTGAACAGTGTGTGCACAGTTTCAAAACATTCTCTTTCTCACTCTGCTCCTCCTACACGCATGTGACTATGTTGGGGGGTGCACAAGAAGTTGAGAGGGAACACAACCATGACAGCTGACCTAAACTGACCAAAGGGATATTCCGTGCCATATTATGTCATGCTCAGCAATAAAAAATGAGGGAGGGGGCTTTGGGGAGGGTAACCACTGCTCAAAGACTGGCTGGGCATTGGTCTGCTTGTGGGAGGTGGTGAATGATTGCCTTTGCGTCACTTGATTTGTTTTATTTCTTCTTTCTTCTTCCTCTTTCCTTTGCTGCTTAACTATCTTTACCTCGACCCATGAATTTTCTTACTTTTGCTCTTCCTGTTCTCCCTATCCTACTGGGGCAGGGGGGGAATGAGTGAGCGGCTGCGTGGTTAGCTGCCGGCCAAGGCACCACAGTCTTATAAAAAGGAATTTTGATAGTACTTAAATTTGAATGGAAGACTGCCATAACAAATCAGAAGGAAAAATGGCATTTGAAAGATTTGCGCAATCTTTGCACCTGTAAAGACTGTCTGCAACGAATAAAAATGTGTCCAGTTATGTGCAAGTAATCTGAGCCTGAGGAGAACCTTAATGTCCTGCAGAATTTCAGGTGTTTCTCTAAAAGTCACAGACTTGAGTAATCATTCTTACCATTTTGGAAGATGTGACAAAATACTATGAAGCTTTAAGGATCTTTTGGGTCATTTCCATTTTAACTTATTTTTGATAGGAAGTAGCACATAAAGATAATAAAATAATTGATTCCTAATACAATTTGTATTTGAATAACATAATGGAAAGAAGTTCAGAAATTTTTCCCATAACCTAGGTAAAGATAGGGTAATTCTTGTGCTTGCATTGCTGCATCACTTGAGTGTGGAAAAGTGTAATCTCTGCTTGACATTGTAGGCTCAGCAGAACACCCACATCAGTGAATTTGATTTTACTGAGATAGCTTGTTTTCACTTGAAGAAGGGTTACTAAGTTAGTAGAAAATGAATTATACTGGTATATCTTCATCTACCATTAAGAACACTTAACTGATGTAGTGTAGTAGTGCAGCTTTTACTGGCATGGACCTTCTTGTTCATTTGTCTGTCTCTTCCTTAATTCTGCCCTCCCTTTTATATCCTGATCCCCTTCTATACACCTCAAGACTACAGAGCAAATTGGCTCAAGTGAAAAGTCTAAAAATAACATAGTAAGTATAGGCAGAAGAGGAATGATTTCACTTCTTTGAGGAGAAAGCGAAGCAGTCAGAAGATGGCATGGAAAGGAAGAATAAGGAAGTAAATTCTAAAGAAGGAAGGAAAATAATATTAGCAAGTCTTGAGAAATCAAGAAGGAACGAGATGATAAATGTGGGATTCTCAGAAGAGAAAGCATTTCCTTAGGAGTCATGATTGCATGGTCTGATGCCTTGAACTGGCTAATGCACTGGTAACCTGGGACTCCTAGCACTGACAGGCTTCAGGTGCTGGTACAGAAATAAGCACAGAAGTCTCAGGCAGAAATTTACCATTCTCAGTGCTATATAGTCCTGAACAATGAGTTGAGTAGCAAGGATAGAAGATGCAAACCTGAAACTGGAAAGAATGCTGTTGGAAGAAATTTGCTGCTATACTGTCATGTCAGGATTGTCAGGACACTGCACTAGCAGAACTGCCAGCAGACTGAGATCAAGTGTGCACAGCTGGGGAAGATGAGCTGTGGGCTCCATCCAGTCAGAAACTCTTCTAGATGTCAAGGTGCTGACCACATGCATGCGTGAAGGAAGTATACATCCAGCCCCACCTCTTCCTCGCTTGAAGTCAGCACCTCAGGCTGTAAACACTTGGCCATGGGCAAACTAAGTCCCTCCTGAAAGAGGGACTTAGCTGTTAGGCAGGTGGTGTTCTTGGAGGAAATCGTAACACGGATTGTTCCTGATCTATGGGTTGACATTTGGATGCGAAATAAAGAATTTATTAAATAAATAAATGCTGAAGTGGGAATAATAATTCAGGAACCGCTCAGACATTTAGTGAAGAGGCTACAGGTAATTTGTTTAGGAAATTGAGATCAAGGAGAAACAATTTCAATGCATGTATACTATGGTAAGTATCCCAGGCAACATAATGGAAGATTTACTGATGCATGACAGGAAACGGTGTGTTTCAGCGAGAACAGCAATACCACAGAATCATATTCATGTTTTGAAAGATGCATGTAGTTAAGGAGAGAGAGAGAAATAAAGGTGAAGTTGATGATGTTAGATTAAACATCAGTGATACTGTGGTGACCTGAAAAAAAAAAAATCTTTGGATAAGATACGGCTGGATCTGACTTATAATCACATTTGGGGAAACATTAAGAAAATAATTCTTCTAAACTTATTTTAGGATTCTGCTATGGGCACCCGGGGCCAGAGCTGGGATTGAGTTTTTTCATATGTGGGACTAATGTTTTTATATAATTTGAATAAATGTGCTATGTAGAAAGAAAATAATCATGCTACTTGAAGAAATAGCCATTAATGCTATCTTGATCTGGTTTTGAAATACCTTATTTTATATAATTTTTTTTTTTCTATAATTTAGTCACGAAGTGTGGACAAGCAACATGCTGTACTTAACTACGATGCCTCTACGGATGAACACTTGGTGAAGGATTTGGGTAGCTTGAATGGGGTAAGTTAGCATCAGAAATGGATATATCCCCATAGTATTTTGTATGTTTGTTTTGGGGTTTTTTTGAGCAAAGAGAGTATGACTTAATAAGTGTACATTAATATATTTTTAATGCAAGATTGGAAATGGGGGAACATTCAAAAGGAAAATACAGTTTTTGTGGGGGTTTTCCACTGCATGTTATTTAAAGGGCTGCAGTAAATTCCATCAAGAAGAGGGCCTTGGCAGTAGGAAAAAACTCAATAAAAAGGAATATATTATTATTCTGTATTTCAGAATGTAGAAAAAAAAATAGTATCTTGATTATATTGGGGGAAAAAAGGTATTTAAATCTCTAAAATGTCTGATTAAGAAATTGATTTTTTATTTCATCTGCTATTCCTTTTTCTCCTTTTTTCATACAGAAAAGAATGTTAAACTGTACTTCATATGTAAAAAAAAAATCAAGTATGCAATAACTATGTTGTATGTAAACCTATTTAATTCTATATTTGCATTTAGTTTTTCAGTATCGTTTTTGTCAAAATGTCTATGAATAATGTGTGTCAAGTTATTACAAACTAGTGTAGGAAAAATGCAAAGTTATGGGCAAAATAAAGTTTCGTATGACATTTTACATTTTAAGGCTTTTCTAGGAATTGCGTGTAGAATATTCTAGGTAAGCTTCGCCTTTTATAAATGTTTTGAATTTTATAATAGGTTATTAAAAACTTAGTAACTTTGTCATATTTTTGTAGCCCTTTAGATACTTCTTCATGAGCTTTTTATACACACTAGTTATGGTTGTTATTTTTTGTTACTTTAAATGTTTGGCTGTGTCATGAATGTGTACAGAACAAAATCATAAGTTCATCTATGATTGCTTATTTGAACTAATATTTAGAAAACTACTGGTAGTGAATAGCTTTGTCAAATAAAAAAAAAGATGGAGAAGAAATCTCAGGTTACTGCCTGTTAGCAATGATTTAGGTTTTGGTGTTTGATCTTGAAGTGCATTTCAAAATAAAAACCCTGTTAGTCTGTCTTCATTAGCTTTTCTGTATTTTAAAGTAACTAACTCAGCTTTCCAAAGAGTCAGAGTCTCAACTCCACATGAAACCAGTGTAACCTGAAGGGTTATATCCTTTGAACAGTTGTAGACGTATAAGAACTTTGCCACTTAAATATTTAATATACCTCTGTGTTTTGAAAGTCAGTGCACTGTTTCAAGGCAGTGATCAAAAATGAATTCAGCACATAGTAACTTGTGCTGAGACATTTGATTTTATTCCCTAGTTGTATGTTACTCCTGTAGTCAAAAGGCATACCTTCAGATTTTCATTGCCTTGTCACAAAACTTGAATTTAATAAAAATATATGTTAAAAGGCCTTCGTTCGACTCCTTTCTTTGCTTCTGATAAAGAGCTTTCAATTATTTGCTTTGCTTGATCTGATTCATTCTCAGATTTGAGTTGTCAGTTGCTCTGTAGCTGTTTACCCAGAGACATCAAAGGAACTCTCTTCCCACAGTTTTGGGACAGGGAATATTAAGTCTTAGGAGTTCAGTCCTTGCTCTTTGTCTTCTCAGCGGTTCCCATACTATCTCTTTCCAACTGTGCTTTTCTTACATACCTCTACCTACCTGGTTTCAGGTCAAAAGAGGAAACACATAATTTTGTAACACTGTACTTAACTGTGTGGCAGAACAATATATGCAATGCCTCCGTACCATGCGGTGAACTAACTAGGCAATAATTCTTTTAGTCTAGCTACTCTTTGCACTGAGTACACCACCTCCCTAACAGCCAAGTCCCTCTTTTAGTGCTTCATCAGCTTCTACCCATTCTTATTTTGCTTGCTTCATCAAGAGCAAACATTTATTTTGGGTCTCCCCAGATAGTCCCATTTCTTTGGAGAACAGATGTATACTTTTCTTAGTATACAGGACTGCTCCATTCCTGGTGTAATGCACTTTAACCACTTGAGATAATTCAGAGTTTAAGGGGAGATGGCTACTACCAATTTTCTTTTGAGTTTTATGAGTCCCAAGTACTTTCACTAGATGAACTGTAATTGCACATGATGCCCTAATGCCTGAATATTCTTGTCTGTATGGTTGATTGACACTCAATTCAGTGAAAAGGTTACAGCAATCTTCATCCTGGACTTCATACATCTAGATTTGAAAATAAAGCAAAAGTAAATTTTAATCAGTTTTACATGATGTAAAGTTTTATTTCAAATAATCCATCATGACTCCTCCTGGTCATTCCTGCTTATCTTTTATTTCATACAAAAAAGATTAAGGAATTTCTCTTTTCTGAAGAAAATGTATACAATTACTAAGATATAATCTATTATTTCACCAGTATCAACAGAATTGAACTGTATTTTCTCCTTTGACTTGTGACCTCAAAAACATACCAGAAAAAATATCAAACATCCATGGCCCTGTTGGATAACATTCTTGGGGATATTTACAGGATAGTGAAGTCCTTTCACACTTATGTTTTAGGACTGGATCGTGAAATGCTCAACAAACTTTCTGAAGGCTTAAAGAGAGTTGACTCTCACTATTTGGAGAATAAAGCTTTGGAAATCGTGTGAATATATAGAAGTGCGAATAGAGTGATTTAAAGGGGGAAAAGGATTCCTTATTTACATAGTAACTAGCTTTTTCAAGCTAGCTTTGTCTTGCATCCCAAAGCCTGTGGTGGGATTTTAAAACTCCAGTGGCAAAGCAACTGAGGCTTGGTTCTTGTATGCCATCAGTTCAGTCATGAGGATGTCTGTAGACTGCACACACTGCTTTCAGAGTTCTCTGGGTTGAGTATACTGTATGCACATGAATTTCAGAACTCTGACCTGGGAGGAAAAATGCATACGTACATATATGCATACATGTCTGCAAGGTGGCCTAAATTTTGGTGATTCACTAAAATTCAAGCTGCCTTGAGGATATTCTTCACATGGGTTTTTGCTCTGGACTCACACAATGTTAAAGTGGAATAAATACGCATTAAACACCACTCAAAGTTTCATGCTTGCAAACCAGTAAATAGTTGTACCTTTAATTCTTATTTCTCATGGAAGATATTTTCTATGAAGTAGGTAAGCAATTTTTTAAATAATGAAATAAACATTATTTTCGTTTAGAAAAAGAAAAGAAAACAGAAGATCCCTTTACTCTTGGGGAAGGACATTGTTTCTGTCTTTCCAGTCTTCATCTAATACTAGATTTAGATGAGCAACACAAGTGTTCAAAGATTCAGATTCTTGGCTTACTTAATTATTCAAGTTTATTTTTTTGTCTATGCGTGCCCTTAACTTCAAAGTGCTTATAAAATGGCAGATTTCAGCTGCTGCATTCCTTAGAAACATATACATGTTGTTGTACAATCTTAAGTTTGAAGGAGGATGATCCTGTGGGGTTGCGATATTCTGCGTCCCTAAAACTGGCACAAACCAATAGTAAATGTGTTTCAGAAAGGCACCCTGGATATTTAATCTATCTGTAGTATTAACATGTAGTTGTTATGAAAATTAAAAATGAGCAAGAAGCTGTACATTTTTTAAGGTATGGGAAAATACACAACTGATAAATAATTCATAAAATAATGCAACAGTCTCATACCAGCTCATCCATAAATGTTTTATTTGCCTTGAATTTGCCCCAAATTAAGGCTTCATTCTGGATTTTAAAAGAAGATGAAGGAAGTAACACCAAGGAACAAGAGACTTTTCATATATAGCTGATTATTCATATTTCTTACAAGGAAGATGCTACATTCTTATAGAATCATAGAATCATAGAATCATTGAGGTTGGAAAAGACCTCTAAGGTCATCGAGTCCAACCGTCAACCCAACACCACCATGCCCACTAAACCATGTCCCTAAGCGCCTCATCTACACATCTTTTAAATACGTCCAGGGATGGGGACTCCACCACTTCCTTGGGCAGCCTGTTCCAATGTTTCACCACTCTTTCAGTAAAGAAATTTTTCCTTATATCCAATCTAAACCTCCCCTGCCGCAACTTGAGGCCATTTCCTCTCGTCCTATCACTTGTTACTTCAGAGAAAAGACCAACACCCACCTCGCTACAACCTCCTTTCAGGTAGTTGTAGAGAGCGATGAGGTCTCCCCTCAGCCTCCTTTTCTCCAGGCTAAACAGTCCCAGTTCCCTCAGCCGCTCCTCATAAGACTTGTTCTCCAGACCCCTCACCAGCCTCGTTGCCCTTCTCTGGACACGCTCCAGCACCTCAACGTCCTTCTTGTAGTGAGGGGCCCAAAACTGAACACAGTATTCAAGGTGCGGCCTCACCAGTGCCGAGTACAGGGGCACGATCACTTCCCTACTCCTGCTGGCCACACTATTTCTGATACAGGCCAGGATGCCATTGGCCTTCTTGGCCGCCTGGGCACACTGCCGGCTCATGTTCAGCCGGCTGTCAACCAGCACCCCCAGGTCCTTCTCTGCTGGGCAGCTTTCCAGCCACTCTTCCCCAAGCCTGTAGCGCTGCATGGGGTTGTTGTGGCCAAAGTGCAGGACCCGGCACTTGTCCTTGTTGAACCTCATCCAGTTGGCCTGGGCCCATCGATCCAGCCTGTCCAGGTCCCTCTGCAGAGCCTTCCTACCCTCGAGCAGATCAACACTCCCACCCAGCTTGGTGTCATCTGCAAACTTACTGAGGGTGCACTCAATCCCCTCATCCAGAGCGTCCAGATATTACATTCTTTTCAGGTAAAAGGAGAGGGAAGATTTCAAGAAAGCCAGGGGAGAATGTAGGGGAGAGGAACTTAAGAGTGTAAATTGTAGCTTCTTAATGCAGATTTGAATTGAGCCTTGAGGAATAGTTTAAGGCAAGATGCTGGGCAGAAGGTTTTTGTCAGCTCACACTGTAGAAAGACTCTTCAAGGATGTGTAACCCTGAAAGGGTCTTAAATATTATGCAGAGTTACATTTACTGTTTTCTTTTTTCTTTGTAGCCTGATCTCTAGTTTTTGTATTCTAGAGCTTAATATTCTCTTCTGCTAGACAAAATGTGTCTTCACCCTTTTATATTTCTCTGTCACTGAGTGAATTCAGAAGATCCTGACACAATATAGAGTTTTCTCTGAAGGTAACATTTAGTTTAAGAAACAATTCACTTTCACAGTTATAGATTCAGCCTAATTTGGAGAATTCTAAGAGCAGTGGTATGACTCAGGATGAGCAGAAGGGTCAGTTTGAGAGCTGTCGTTGGGAGGTGGCAGGTTCTGGGAGAAGTCTCTAATTGAAGGTTTAAGCATCCCCTCCAAAGGCAAAAGGGCAAGTTGTGAGAAGAACACTCTCAGTTCCTGGCACTCACTCCTAGCTTAGCGTGTTAGCATCCTTGGTTTCTGGTACCTGAAGTCACCACATGCAACTTCAAGTCTTGCTGATGTTAGTAACGTGGGCAGTTTGCTTGATGCTGACAGCCTACCTTCCTAGGACTGTAAATCAGTCTTTAAAGATGCAGATCAGTTCCAATGAAGGAATAAACTTTTTTTCCCCCCTGGTTCTTACGAGGGTTTATGTCTGTTTTACAATTTTATGTAGGTGACTTTCTAGAATTTTCTTTAGGGCTTGAATACTATAACTTCAAGCCCTATTTATGTTCATTTAGTTTTTTTTCCCACAGAGATGAAATTGTTTTCCAACTCTTCCAAATTACATCTCTGAGATCCATTTTGACTTGAACGTGTATTATTCTTCCTCCTTGCTGCCTCTGTAATTAGTCACTGTATATATCTCAGGCTCTCTTGAAATTTACCCCAGCATGTTTTTGCAAATTCCTTGTTATTTTTCTCTGTTAGGTTTAACCCAGACCTTGAAATCGGAATGATTGGTAATCTGTACTGCCTCCTAACAGCCAACTGATATGGCTGGTGAAATTGGGCAAACTTTCAGGTACATAAATCCTTCTCCAAATCACTGAAAGCTTGTCTGATTTCTCCAACTATGTTTCCAATCGCGATTTCGAGGAGGAGAGGATTACTTGTTGTACAGTAACTGAATTTTCAAAAGGTACTGTCAAGCCTATGGAATTTGCTCTGCTTTGCTGCAAGGTGGTATAATAATGTTATTTCTGCTTACAAATGTTGTTATACCTACTCTTGAAAGAGTCGCAATATATTGAATTCTTTATCACTGCTATTTGGAGTTACTTGGCTGCACTGACTTGGTCCATTTTTCCTTTAAGTCCTTTGACAATGTTTAGAAATGATAAGCTACCTCAGAACTCTCATATCCAATGTTAAATGCTGTACAAATGTGATGATAAATCAATTCTGACAGCTAATTGGGATTGAAAAAGCAAACTACAAGAAAAATAATGAGCGGAGGTGCTAATTTGAGGGAACATTAATCAACAATTCAGTAAATACTGCTAACAAGATTAAACCTGTAAGAAACTTTTCAAGGCCAGTGTGATGTCAGGAGCCTGGTTAGTGACTGGTGTTTAACGTTTCTTTTGAAATATTTTGTGAAGCAGGTGGCAATTTGTGCTTATAGTTTAATTCCCTGGTGAATCACCAGTAGAAAATTTGTGGTGCTGAAAACTTTCTTATAAAATTAGTTAAGTGATTTGTCATTTTATTATTCTGGAATTTAACAGTTTTGTGAAGCGTGGCAATTTGAGCTTATAGTTTAATTCCCTGGTGAATCACCAGTAGAAAATTTGTGGTGCTGAAAACTTTCTTATAAAATTAGTTAAGTGATTTGTCATTTTATTATTCTGGAATTTAACAGTATCTCTTTCTGTCCTCATTTATTTCTGTAGACGTTTGTGAATGATGTGAGGATTCCAGAACAGACATATATCACTCTGAAGTTAGAAGATAAATTGAGATTTGGATATGATATCCTTGTCATAAAAATGCACAATGCCCTGACACACTTTTCTTGCTAAAAGTATGGTTGTATTAAATGAAGGGTTCTCATACTATTTGAGAAGCAACTTTGAAATATTTCTCTCGTTACTACAAAAATGCCTATATTAAAGAAAATGGTGGGTTTTAGAATACTGTACCTTGGTCAGAACTATTGATAAAGTACGTCTTGTCGTTTCTCACCACAAGAAACCTCAATTTCCAATTACTATTTAAAACCTAATATGTAACTTCTGTGTTCCTAAGAAGCATTACTTTTCTTGGAGGCAAGTACACAAATATTTGTATCATATGAGATTGTATACAAGTAGAGAAGATTACAAGTAATTACTCAGCAAACTACTGAATGGGAAAAAAAAAAGAGAGCTTGTATTATTACAATGTTAAGGTATCTATTCAATGTTCTATTTATAAATAGTACATAATTGTATTGTGCATTTGCTTTGGTGAGTATGATTATACATGCTGGTCCGAACAGTGACATACTTCTAGAACGAGTGTCACCATTCCAATGGCAGAATAGGCTGCAGAACTGTTGCTTTTCTGTAAAATCCTCTTGTGAATTGAGAAATCTTTCCAGTATTTTCCTTAGCATTTCCTACATACTAATCTTTTTACTGTCGTCAGGGGAGAGATGAGGGTCCCTGAAGAAGCCCTTAAGGTAACAATGTGCAGTTCCTACATGTTCTTCTGTCATTGTGCAGTTATTGGTAACATAGGGTTTTTTTCACTCTTTGAGGGTGTTTTTTTCTCTAATGTCATGTAGCATGAAAAATTCACAAGCCAACTCCAATTATCCCAAAAATCTTCAGAGGCAGAAGGGTTGAAGCAAACCAGCTCCAAAATCTCAGAGTCCAAGGTAACAGACTCCACAGCTGAAGTGCACCACAAAACTACAGAAGCACTGAAATCTGAAGAGAAATCAATGGGTAAGGTGTATTTTTGCTGCAGAAGCACACAAACTTGGAAAGGATATTTATTTGCTTTGCTAGGATGCTTGTGAAATTATGTAGATAGTAAAAACTCCATATATGTGAAATTTTAAACATACTTCAAGTGTAATTAATAACTTTCAGAATTGAATTGCTGCCTTTTTTACTGTAGTATCCGCATGTTAAAAAAACTGGTAAAGGGACATCTAATCAGCATTTATCAGATTTTTCCATTTCTCTTTCCCAAAATCACAAACTTTCACCATTTGTGGCAGGAAAGTGTGCTATTTTTTGCAGTTTGACTGAAAATATTTGTTCAGGAACAGTTGGTACTTTTTATCACCACCGTTGTCAAGTGTGCTCCTCTTTATTTTTTTTTCTTTTTAAACGGGTGGGGGTTTTGTTTGTTTCATAGATACTAGCATTCATTGTTAGATGCATCAGGATAGAACCTAAGTGTTCTGTTGTAGTTTAAAAATTTGTAGAAACTGTAGCTTCGGTCTTGTTTCTACATCATCTTTCATATTTATAGAATCATAGAATCATAGAATAGTTTGGGTTGGAAGGGACCTCTAAAGGTCATCTAGTTCAACCCGCCC